CTCCTCCTCCTCCTCCTCCTCCTCTCCTGAAACTCCACTTCTTTCTAGCCCTGATGATGTTCCCTAGTTGGGTCATGAAACATCCGCAAGAAAACCAACAAGCTCAAAGAGCACCAAGGACCCCACAGTCCTCCTCCTCCTCCTCCTCTTTCTTTTCTTCCTCCTCCCCCCTTTCTCCTCCTTTACTCCACAATCCCTCCTCCCTTTTAGCACTGATGGTGCTACTTAGTTGGGTAACGAAACGGCTGCAAGAAAACATCCAAGCTCAGAAGCATCAAGGACCCCCCAATCCTCCTCCTCCTCTTCCTCTTCCTCCTCCCAGCACTGATGATGTTCGCTAGTTGGGTCATGAGACGTCCGCAAGAAAACCCCCAAGCTCAGAGAGCACCCAGGACCCCCACAGTCCTCCTACTCCTCCTTGCAAATCCCCTCCCTTCTAGCACTGATGATTTTACCTAGTGGGGTCATGAAATGTCTGCAGGAAAACCACCCAGCTCAGAGAGCACCAAGGACCCCACAATCCTCCTCCTCCTCCCTTCTAGCACTGATGATGTTACCTAGTTGGGTCACGAAACGTCTGCAAGAAAACATCCAAGCTCAGAGAGCATCAAGGACCCCACAATCCTCCTCTTCCTCCTCCTCCTCCCAACACTGATGATGTTAGCTAGTTGGGTCATGAGACGTCCGCAAGAAAACCCCCAAGCTCAGAGAGCACCCAGGACCCCCACAGTTCACCCCTGAATTGCCAACATTCTCTTCTATTTTACTTTCTTTGCTCACAACTCTTGCCAGTCCCAGCGTACGATGCCAATAGCAAACAGGTCCCACCTCACAACAACAACACGAAAAAGCGACACGCTCCATCAAAACCTTTTGACTCTTTCTGAGCTGCACGTGATTTATGCCTCTTACTGGGAAATAAACCAGTCGATTGGGGCCTTCAAGAGTTCCTCCCTCCCTCTTAAATTGAATCAAACATAAAATATTTGGAATTACTGTCAAATATAAAAGCGAGGAGGGGGAGAGAGAGAAAGTCAGAGGAAAAATCAGCAGGAAAACACGGGGAAGGAGGCCTCCGAACCAGGCTCCAGGTATTCCTCGACTTACAAACTTCATTTAGGGACCGTTGCAAGTTACAACGCCACGGAAAAAAGTGACCTATATGACGAGTCCTCGCCCTTACGACCCTCTCCACATCAGCGACCAGCATGCATTTAGGATGGTTGCAGTGTTCCAGGGTCATCTGATCGTCATTTGTGACCTTCTCGGCCGGCTTCCGACAGGCGAAGTCAATATTGGAAGTCAGATTCGCTTAATGACCGTCTGGTTCACTTAACAACCCACAGCGATTCGCTTAACATCCATGGCAAAAAGGGCCATAAAATCGGGAGCAAGCTTCCTTAATGACCGCCCTTGCTTTGCGACGGTAAGTCGAGGACTCCCTGTAATGCCCGTTTCTCTTTCGAAGCGACAAATCCCACAATCGTTGTAGTACGGCGGTTTCGTTTGGAAAAGGCCAGCGAGAGTCTTAGATGCCCCCCCCCCCTTTTATTGGGAAGGAAACCTTTTTTCTGTTTGGAGGATGAAATGAAAATAGCTCTTTGCATGAAGGACTGGTGAATATTTCCTCTTTTTTCCCTTTTTGGTCTTAAATGTGTATTCTATATATTTATCAAATTCATACTTATCAAATTCATATTTATCAAATTCATATCTCACGGTGCGAGGGACACAGCCTCTCTCAATCTCCTTCAAAAAGACTCTAATGTAGTATTCCTCAATCTGGCTCACGTTCACTTAAGTCCATCACAGCATGCTGGCTGGGGGATTCTGGGAGTTGGAGTCCACCCCTCTTAAAGCATGGCTGGCTGGGGTATTCTGGGAGTGGAAGTCCACCCTCTTAAAGCAGGCTGGCTGGGGTATTCTGGGAGTGGAAGTCCACCCTCTTAAAGCATGCTGGCTGGGGGATTCTGGGAGTGGAAGTCCACCCTCTTAAAGAATGCTGGCTGGGGGATTCTGGGAGTGGAAGTCCTCCCCTCTTAAAGGAGGCTGGCTGGGGGATTCTGGGAGTGGAAGTCCCCCCTCTTAAAGCATCTTGGCTGGGGGATTCTGGGAGTGGAAGTCCTCCCCTCTTAAAGCATGCTGGGTGGTGGATTCTGGGAGTGGAAGTCCACCCCTCTTAACACATGCTGGCTGGGGGATTCTGGGAGTGGAAATCCTCCTGTCTGTAAGTGGGAAAGGTTGAGAGACATTGCTCTGATTTGCAGATTGATGGCTCAGCTCCCCTGCCAAATGCAAGCAAGGAATCAAAGTGGCTCCATCCCTTTTCTTGACAAGCTAGCTTTCTACTTGCGAGGAGATGCAACCCAATGCCTTCTTCTCCCTCTGATTCCGCTGTGAAAAAGGTTCCTGAAAACAGACACTTTTTTCCCCTCCCCTCGCTGCCCCGCGTGCCACGGCCTCCGCACCTGGACCTGCCACTTGCCCACGATCCGGTCGACAATTTCATTGTTGTCTTTGTTCAGCTTGGTCTTGTCGTAACATTTCTCGTAGCAGAGAATGCGCAGATACTGGGAGCCTTCCAGCTCTATCTCAAACTCCTGCAGAGTCAAACAGGGAGGAAATTTATGGAAACAGCAAAGGCAGAGAGAGCGAGAGCAAGAAAAGTAGTAGTAGTAGTAGTAATAATAACAACAGCAACAATAATAAAGTTGGAAGGGACCTTGGAGGTCATCTAGTCCAGGGCTTTTCAACCAGTGGTACGGGTACCACCTGTGGTATATTGGCACCGGGCAGGTGGTACGTGACCATCCTAGAAAAGTAGTGGGGGAGGGGAATAATAATAATAATAATGATAACGTTGGAAGGGACCTTGGAGGTCATCTAGTCCAACCCCCTGCTCAGGCAGGAAACCCTATACCATTTCGGACAAACGGCTGTCCAGTTTCTTCTTAAAAACTTCCAGTGTTGGATCATTCACCGCTTCTGGAGGCAGGTTGTTCCACTGGTTAACTGTTCTAACTGTCAGGAAGTTTCTCCTTAGTTCTAGGTTGCTTCTCTCTTTGGTTAGCTTCCACCCGTTGCTCCTTCAGGCGCTTTGGAAAATAGCTTGACTCCCTCTTCTTTGGGGCAGTCCCTGAGATATTGGAACACTGCTGAGCTGAACCAGTGGCAGCACCGCACAAGCCTCAGCGAGAGACGGCTGGAGCTGCAGGGCTGTCAGGGCTCAGCGGAAGCCCCAGGATTAGTGCCGCTTTCCAGCTGATCGGCGCTTCTTCGGGGCTGTCAGGGCTCAGTGGAAGCGCCAGGATCAGTGCCAGGATCCAGCTGGAGCTCAGTGCTGATCCTGGCGCTTCTGCTGAGCCCAGAAGAAGCACCAGTCAGCTGGAATGTTGCAGCCTCTCCAGGGTCTTGTGATTTACATTCAGATTCTTGGCAACTGATTCATACTTATGACGGTCACAGTGTCCCAGGGTCATGTGAAGTGGCCAAAATCTGCATGGCAGATGGCTTACCTCGTTCCACTGCGGCTCCGTTGTGTCCCGGAACACTCGTGTTTTGGCTTTGCTGACAAAGTACCCAAAGGAATCCACTTCAAGGCTGCAGTAGAGGTCTAAGAACATCGGGAAGAAAAATAGGAAATCAGTTTTATATTTCAAGGGGGGGGAAGCTCTTAAAATTCATCCCTCAGCCCAGTGTTTCCTAACCTTGGCTGGCTGGGGAACTCTGGGAGTGGAAGTCCACCCCTCTTAAAGCAGGCTGGCTGGGGGATTCTGGGAATGGAAGCCCACCCCTCTTAAAGCATGCTGGCTGGGGGATTCTGGGAGTGGAAGCCCACCCCTCTTAAAGCAGGCTGGCTGGGGGATTCTGGGAATGGAAGCCCACCCCTCTTAAAGCAGGCTGGCTGGGGAACTCTGGGAGTGGAAGCCCACCCCTCTTAAAGCCTGGCTGGCTGGGGGATTCTGGGAGTGGAAATCCACCCCTCTTAAAGCATGCTGGCTGGGGGATTCTGGGAGTGGAAGCCCACCCCTCTTAAAACATACTGACTGGGGGATTCTGGGAGTGGAAGTCCCCCCTCTTAAAGCATGCTGGCTGGGGAATTCTGGGAGTTGAAGTCCACCCTTCTTAAAACATACTGACTGGGGGATTCTGGGAGTGGAAGTCCCCCCCTCTTAAAACATACTGACTGGGGGATTCTGGGAGTGGAAGTCCCCCCCTCTTAAAACATACTGACTGGGGGATTCTGGGAGTGGAAGTCCCCCCCTCTTAAAACATACTGACTGAGGGATTCTGGGAGTGGAAGTCCACCCATTTTAAAGATGTCAAGGCCGAATACAACTGCTCTAAGAGATGAGATTCAGCTCCTGACTCGAAAGAAGACTTTGGAGGGTGGTCTATTAACAGCCACTCATCACCAACGTGACCCTCTATCAAAACTGGTTGCTGATTCCAAGATCTGCCTATCTAGGAAGCAAAAGCAATCATGATGGGGAATTGAGGAGGGGGCAGCGGGAAGGATTTGGGCAAATCCGTCAGGCCAGGTAAGCTTCACTCTTAAAGGAGAATATTTGCAGCTCAGGGTTGAAGTGAGGGGTCCTTATTGCTCTTCGAGCTTAGAGGTTTTCTTGCAGACGTTTCACTGCCCAACTAGGTAACATCATCAATGCTAGAAAGGAGTGGGGTCTGAAGAATGGTGGAGGAGGAGGAGGAGGTGGAGGAGGACTACTGTGGGTGGGTGGTTTTCTTGCAGACATTTCATGACCCAACTAGGGAACATTATCAATGCTAGAAGGGAGGAGGAGAAGGAGGAGGAGGAGGAGGAGGAGGAGGAGGAGGAGGAGGAGGACGACGACGACGACGACGACGACGACGACGACGACGACGACGACGACAACGACGACGACGACGACGACGACTGTGGGATCCTTGGTGGTTTTTGAGCTGGGTGGTTTTCTTACAGATGTTTCATGGCCCAACTAGGTGATGTCACCAGTGGTAGAAGGGAGAGGGATTTGTGGAGAATGAGCAAAGGAGGAGGAGGGGATGGAGGAGGAAGGAGAACGGGAGGAAGAAGAGGAAGAGGAAGAAGACTGTTGAATCCTTGGTGCTGTCTGAGCTGGGTGGTTTCCTTGCAGATGTTTCAATACCCAACTAGGTAACATCACCAGTGTTCAAAGGGAGAGGGATTTGTGGGGAAAGAGCAAGGAGTAGGAGGGGGAGGAGGAAGAGGAAGAGGAGGAGGAGGAGGATTGGTGGGAGGAGGAGGAAGAGGAGGAGGAGGAGGTGAAGGAGGAGAAGAAAGAGGACTGTGGGGGTCTCTGATGCTCTCTGAGCTTGCTTTTTTTTTTGCAGACATTTCATCACCCAACTGGGGAACATCATCAGTGCTAGAAGGGAAGAGGGGAGGAGGAGGGGAGGATGGATTTAGACCCATATCTGCCCCTTGCAAAGTGACCCCACCATAGGGAGTTCGCCTGACCCCCCCCAGGCCCTCCCTTGGTGAATCTGCAGCTGGGTCAAATCATACCCTACCAGGCACTGGAGAGGGGAAGCCACAGGAAAGATGCATAAAAATAATCCAATGGATCTACGAAATCCGTTTGGCACTTACTGGCAGATTGCTTGAAGCCCTTGACCGAGTGGACGATCACGTGCAAAAAGCCGCACATTCCTAAAGGTTTGTCATCTGCGGAGGAGGAAGTGGAGAGGGAGAGCTATTTATGTGCCTTTATTTTTTTGTCTCCCAAATTTTCATTTTATTTTCAAAGTTAAAAAAGAAAATACAGGTGATCCTCGACTTAACAATGGTTCTTTTAGAAGCTGGGGTCTTCCAACTTGGCCCTTTTGTGACTTGTGGACTTCAACTCCCAGAATTCTTCAGCCAGGAAGACCCCTGCTTGTGGACTTCAACTCCCAGAATTCCCCAGCCAGCGTGCCTGGCTGAGGAATTCTGGGAGTCGAAGTCCACAAGTCATAAAAGGGCCGAGTTGGAAGATCCCTGTTTTAGTGACTGTTCAAAGTCACAGCATCACTGGGAAAAAGTGAGTGACGACCGTTTTTCACACTTACGACCATTGCAGCATCCCCATACTCACGGGGTTAAAAAAATCAGCCGCTCGGCAACTGACTCCTATTTACGACGGTCGCTACATCCCCGGGGGTGTCACGTGATTTCCCCTTTTGCGACCTTCTGACAAGCAAAGTCAACGGGGGGGGGGAGAGCCGGATTCCCTTAACAAGGATTCGTTTAACTGCTGTGGCGAGCAAGGTTGTAAAATGGAGGAAAATTCACTTTAACAAATTAAAGAGACTGGTATAGGTCCTCCTGCTTGAGCAGGGGCTGGACTAGAATACCTCCAAGGTCCCTTCCAGCTCTATTCTGTTCTGTTCTGTTCTATTCTTTCTGTTTTATATATTCTATTCTATTCTATTCTATTCTATTCTATTCCATATTTTATTCCATATTCTATTCTATTCTATTCTATTCTATTCCATATTTTATTCCATATTCTATTCCATTCCATATTCTATTCTATTCTATTCTATTCTATTCCATTCCATTCTATTCTATTCCATATTCTATTCCATTCCATATTCCATTCCATTCCATATTCCATTCCATTCCATATTCCATTCCATTCCATTCCATTCTATTCTATTCCATTCCATATTCCATTCCATATTCCATATTCCATATTCCATATTCCATTCTATTCTATTCTATTCTATTCTATTCTAAATGTCTCATTTAGCAGACATTTTGTGGTCGTAACTCCAGGACTACCTGTACAGGCATTGCTGTCCTTGCTGTAATATTTGCATTAAAAAAAAAAGTTGACATACAGTTAGTCCATGACTTAGAACCGCAGGACCTACCTCTACAGAAAAAAAAAGAAAAAGAAAAAAGAAACTAACAACCATCGCACATCCAATATATATATATATATATATATATATATAAAATGTACAAAAAAATAGCGAATGACAAATGGCTTTTATTTCATTTGCTCAACTGCAACCTAAACAATGCGCTAGGAAGGGAAACATCACACTAAAAAGTGAGATTCACCAGATTGCACACAGGATCCTGTTAATTAAAGGGGCTGCTGTGCTTGCAAAAAGCAGAGAAGCCACTAATTTGGAGGTCACGAGTAGGAAGGAGCCCCCACCGGGCTTTGTTCCCCACAGGCTGGTTTTTAGGAACCGGGGTTTTTTTGCCGCGTGCCCTGGGTGAATCACTGAGAGGTCTCTAGGAATCATTTTAACGAGCTTAAAAAGTGTCTTAATTAGCCACCACTTTTCCCAAGCAACTTATGGCTTAACAACTCCAAGTATTAAGTAATGACTTGGAAAAACAAAACAAAACAAAACAAAAAAAGCTGTTTTGTGGCCTCCCACGCTTCAAAAAACGAAAAAAGAAAAAAAATCTTATCCCCCCCCCCCCGAACAGTTTGCAAAGCATCTCTTTGCAAGCATACCGCCACCTAGTGGTAGGAAAAGGACAAATCTGAAAATTGGAGCTTAATAATAGTAACAACAACAACAACAACAACAACAACAATAAAAAGTTGGAGGTGACCTTGGAGGTCATCTAGCCCAACCCCCCGCTCAGGCAGGAAACCCTTGAAACTTGTATGAATGTAAAATTCAGAATAGAGGTACCGTCCTCGACTTATGACCACGACTTAAGCCCATTTCCATCACTAAGCGGGACAATTGTTAACGAGTGAGTTTTGCCCCAGTTTACGACCTTTCTCGCTGCAGTTGTTAAGGGAATCACTTGCAGGTCGCAAAAGGGGATCATGTGACATTCCCCCCCCCAGGACGCTGCGACCGTTGTAAATACGAGTCAGTTGCCAAGCGTCCGAATTTTTGATCACGTAACTGTGGGGAATGTGGCGACGGTCGTTAAGTCTGAAAAACGATCACAACTCACTTTTTTCGTGCCGTTGTAACTTTGAATGGCTACTAAATGAATTATAAGTCAAGGACTACCTGTGTATCCAGTGGTGGGATTCAAATAGATGAACAACCGGTTTTGTGTGTGGATGCCACTTCCAGAAGTCCGTTCTGGGGCTGGGCAACAAAAAATTAGCTACCGGTTCTGCCGAAGTGGTGCGAACCGGCTGAATCCCACCTGTGTGTGTGTTGTTTTTTTCTTATTTGTTTTAATTATAAGACACCCAGAGTCTCTGTGAAGTCCAGCAGCTAGTAGTAGTAGTAGTAGTAGTAGTAGTAGTAATATTATTATTATTATTAATAATAACAATAACAACAACCTGTGTCAACCATCAGCGCCAGTCAATTTGAATGTTCAGTTGACTAAGGTTCACATATTATTATTATTATTATTATTATTATTATTATTATTATTATTATTATTATTATTATTATTATTATTAAAAATAAATAAATAAATAAAGCTGGAAGGGACCTTGGAGGTCATCTAGTCCAACCCCCTGATCAGGCAAGAAACCCTATATCATTTCAGACAAATGGCTGTCCAGTCTCTTCTTAAAAACTTCCAGTTTTGGCGCATTCAAAGCTTCTGGAGGCAGGTTGTTCCACTGGTTAATTGTTCTAACTGTTAGGAAGTTTCTCCTTAGTTCTAAGTTGCTTCTCTCCTTGGTTAGTTTCCATCTGTTGCTTCTTGTCCTGCCTTCAGGCGCTTTGGAGAATAGCTGGACTCCCTCTTCTTTGGGGCAGCCCCTGAGATACTGGAAGGCTGCTATCCTGTCCCCCCTGGTCCTTCTCTTCATTAAACTAGACATACCCAATTCCAGCAACCCCAATTCCTTGTATGTTTTAGCCTCCAGTCCCCTAATCATCTTTGTTGCTCTTCTCTGCACTCTTTCTAAATGACTGTGGGAGGGTGCAATTGGTCGCAAACGGAAGCCGGCGACCGAACGCGCAAGTGGCAATCCAGTGACAGAAGGGGCCAGGGGCCAAGCGAACTCACCGTCCGTGTTGCTGGTCAGAGGGATGTTGTGCACCGTCCGTAACTTGAAACAGGATCCCATCAGGTACTGCAGCTCCACCGAACTTAGCACAAAGGTCTGGAGATCTAAGGGGAATTGCGAAGCTTTAGCAAAAGGCCAGGAGCACGGAAAGTCTCCTAGCTGGGGGGTAGGGAGCGGAGGGAGGGAGGGGGGCGTCATTGTGGGAAGAGATGAGAAGGGCAGCAGCCTGGGGGAGACGAGGGTGCAAAAATGGCAGCACCAGTCACAAGGATGCGACGGAAAGCTGGCTCTACAGAAGCACCCTTTGTCGGAGAAGGACTGGGGGTGGAGTCAAAAGAGGAAGAAGCCTACAATCCCTGCGTAGCCACAAGCAAACTCAGCCCAGCCCTCCTTGAATGCCGCGGAGCCTTATCGAACTGAGAGCAGGGGCTTACACCAAGAGTTGAGAAGATTAAAGTCAGGCGAGAAGGTCCAATTAAACCGAGTTGCTGCTACAAGCCTCTTGCGCAGGGGATCTTCTCAACTGACAATGAGCATCTGCTTGGAGTTAGATAGGGTCAATGCCCTCAAGGGAGGATGGACTTCCTTCACTTGTGGCTACGTAGAGATTCTAGGGTGAAGCCTTTCTTGACTCCGCCCCTAGATTCTGCCACTCCTTATCCTGCACTTCTTTTCTTCACATTTTTCCCTTTCATCTTTTGTTCCTTCCTTTCCTTCCTTCCTCTTTTTCAGCCTTCTTTCTCTTCCTTCCCTCCCTCCCTCCCTCCCTCCTTCCTTTCTTTTTCAGCCTTCTTTATCCTTCCTCCCTCCCTCCCTCCTCCCTTCCTTTTTCTCTCTTCCACCCTCCCTTCTTTCTCCTCCTCCCTTCCTTTCTTTTTCAGCCTTTTCTCCTTCCTTCCTTCCTTCCTTCCTTCTTCCCTCCCTCCCTTTTTCAGCCTTCCTTCCTTCCTCCCTCCCTCCCTTCCTTTCTCCCTCCCTCCCCCTCCCTTCCTTTTTCAGCTTTCTTTCTCTCCTTCCTTCCCTCCCTCCCGCCCTCCTCCCTTCCTTTTTCTCCCTCCCTCCCTCCCTCCTTCCCTCCCTTCTTTCTCACTCCTTCCCTTCTTCCTTCCCTCCCTCCCTCTCCCTTCCTCCCTTTTTCAGCCTTCTCTCTCCTTCCGTCCTCCCTCCCTTCTTCCTTCCCTCCCTCCCCCTCCCTTTCTTCCTTTTTCAGCCTTCTTTCTCCTCCCTCCCTCCTTTCCTCCCTTTTTCAGCCTTTCTCCTTTCTTCCGTCCTCCCTCCCTTCTTCTTTCCTTCCCTCCCTCTCCCTTCCTTTTTCAGCCTTTCTCCTCCCTCCCTCCCTTCTTTCTCTTTCCCTGCCTCCCTCCCTCCCTCCCTCTTTTTCCCTTTCCCATTTTCCATCCTTGTCAGGCACAAAACACCAGGTCCACTTAAATGGATGTATTGCAGTAGAGCCTACTGCACACATGAATATTCTCAGCTAATAGCCAGCATCCGCTTAGTTAGTTAAGGGTCAACAGCACTCAAGGAAGGCTGGTCCACTGGTGGCTACATAGGGGTTCTAGGCTGATTCTTCCTTTGACTCCACCCACAGCTTCTGCCATTCCTTCTCCTACATCAGTGGTGGCGAACCTACGGCACGGGTGCCAGAGGTGGCACTCAGAGCCCTCTCTGTGGTCACACGCGCCATCACCCCAGTCCTAGGCCTTCAGCTAGCTTTTATAAAACCTTTTCGCTTTAGGCCTCCGCCGCCATGTGCAAAAAAAAAAAGGTTCAATCAATCAGTCAATTTCAACTTCTCACGGGAAAAAAAAGATCTTGCAAAGTTGGAATTGATTGATTGAACTTTTTAGTCCCACCCAGTCTGCCGTTACCACTGCAGCCACGCCCACCCAATGGGCCACACCCACCCAATGGGCCACACCCACCCGGCACTCGACGATGCATAAGTGGGTTTTGGGTTGCAGTTTGGGCACTCGGTCTCTAAAAGGTTCGCCATCACTGTCCTACATCCTGTGACTCAAAGATCAGCCTCACCCACAGAAAATGGGGGAAATAATATTTTTGGGGAATCATAGGGGGGGCTCTTGAGCTTTGGCAGGAAGCCCTGCCCCTCGGTTCCACCCCAAGAACTTCTCGTTTCATAGACCACCGGCTGAAAAACCAAGATGGTCCTCGGGGGGACTCAGGTGTTCGATCCGCAACACGGCTTACCTTTCTTCTGCAGTTTCTGGATCGCCTCCCTCCACTCCGACCGCTCGTAGTCCGAGGACAGAAGGAATAGGTAGCTCTAGGGAGACAAGAGAGAGCGGGGAAAGGGGCTTTGTAAAAGGGGTCTGGCAATCTCCTAGGGGGATCTGTGGGGGTCCTTGGTGCTCTCCGAGCGGGGTGGTTTCCTTGCAGACGTTTCGTTCCTGAAGTAGGTAACATCATCAGTGCTGGAAGGGAGGGGGGTTTGTAGAGTGGAGGAGGAGGAGGGACAGAGGAGAAGAAGGGTGGGAGGAGGAGGAATGGAGGGGGAGAGAAGGAGGAGCAGGAGGAGGAGAAGAAGGGGAAGAGGAGAAGGGCGGGAGGAGGAAGAAGGGAGGGAGGGGAGGGGGAGGAGAAGGAGGAGGAGAAGAAGGAGAAGAGGAGAAGAAAGGAAGAGGAGAAGGGTGGGAGGATGAAAAGGAAGGGGAGGAGGAGAAGGAGGAAGAGGAGGAGAAGGCTGGGAGGAGGAGGAATGGAGGGGGAGGAGAAGGAGGAGCAGGAGGAGGGAGTAGGCGAAGAGGAGAAGGGCGGGAGGAGGAGGAAGGGAGGGGAGGGGGAGGAGAAGGAGGAGCAGGAGGAGGAAGAGGAGGAGAAGAAGGAGAAGAGGAAAAGAAGGGAAGAGGAGGAGAAGGGCGAGAGGAGAAAAGGAGGGGAGGAGGAGGAACGGGAGGAGAAGGAAGAGCAGGAGGAGGAAGAGGAGGAGGAGAAGAAGGGGAAGAGGAGAAGAAGGGCTGAAGGAGGAGGAGGTAGGGAGGGGAGGAGGAGGAGGAGAACTATGGGGTCTTTGGTGCTCTCTGAGCTCGACTCCTTTCTTGCAGACCTTTCATGACCCAACTAGGTAACGTCATCAGTGCATAAAGGAAGTTCCTCTTATAATTCAGAGAAAGAAGTGACAGATTTGAGGAGGGGTCTAGGGCTGAGGGCCCCTTTCTCTGTCCAACACCCTGGAGACCCCTCTGCAAAAGAAGACAACCAGCCCAGATGAACAAAGCGCATAGGCCAGGGGTAGGGAAACTATGGCCCCCTTTATGACTCATGGACTTCAACTCCCACAATTCCTGAGCCAGCATGAGGGAACTATGGCCCCTTTATGACTCGTGGACTTCAACTCCCAGAATTCCTGAGCCAGCCTGGCTCAGCTTGGAAACCTCTCCCTTTCCCCTCAGCGTGGCTGGCTCAGGAATTCTGGGAGTTGAAGTCCACCAGTCATAAAAGAGCCCAGGTTGCTTATCCCTGACCTATACTATACCTATGCAGAAACCTATTCTGAGATTTGTTCTTTAAATCCTGGTCTAAGATCTGACTGGATTTCAAGTGAGAAGAGTAAAATAACATGAGTAACTTTTAATGTTTTTAGGAATTAATTTTGGCATCCACAATTGCAATGGGAGTGATGTCGATCTGAGGGAATTATACTGCTATTTCCTATACAGGTAGGTCTAGGCCAGGGGTAGGCCATCTTGGCTCTTTTATGACTTGTGGACTTCAGCTCCCAGAATTCCTGAGCCAGCATGGGGGAACTATGGCCCCCTTCATGACTGATGGACTTCAACTCCCAGAATTCCTGAGCCAGCACATGGGAACTATGGTCCCTTCATGACTGGTGGACTTCAACTCCCAGAATTCCTCAGCCAGCGTGGGGGAAACTATGGCTTCCTTCATGACTGGTGGACTTCAACTCCCAGAATTCCTCAGCCAGCGTGGGGGAAACTATGGCTTCCTTCATGACTGGTGGACTTCAACTCCCAGAATTCCTGAGCCAGCATGGAGAACTATGGCCCCTTTATGACTGTTGGACTTCAACTCCCAGAATTCCTGAGCCAGCATGGGGGAACTATGGCTCCCTTCATGACTGGTGGACTTCAACTCCCAGAATTCCTGAGCCGGCATGGCTCAGCATGGAAACCTCTCCCTTTCCCCTCAGCATGGCTGGCTGAGGAATTCTGGGAGTTGAAGTCCACGAGTCATAAAAGAGCCAAGGTTGCCTACCCCTGGCATAGGCAGAAGGCAGCTGCTGTTTCTCAGCTGCTACCTGAGACCCTAAAAGCCCCTCGCCAGCAACCCACAACGCCCAGATAAGCAAAGATTAACTCTGGACCAACAATCAAGCAGTAAACCATTATCCCAATCAAGGAAGGACCAGCTCAGACAAACCAACAGGTGTGTGTCATGTGTGTGGTTCACTTTGAGAGCGGGCAACTAAATTTCATTTTCAATGTGTGCCGTTGTGCCCAGAGTAAAAAAATGACAATAAAGGTTATCTTATCTTATCTTATCTTATCTTATCTTATCTTATCTTATCTTATCTTATCTATCTTATCTTATCTTATCTTATCTTATCTTATCTTATCTTATCTTATCTTATCTTATCTTATCTTATCTTATCATCTTATCTTATCTTATCTTATCTTGATAGCAGTGTTCCAATATCTCAGGGGCTGCCCCAAAGAAGAGGGAGTCAAGCTATTCTCCAAAGCACCTGAAGGCAGGACAAGAAGCAACGGATGGAAACTCATCCAGGAGAGAAGCAACCTAGAACTAAGGAGAAAATTCCTGACAGTTAGAACAATTAACCAGTGGAACCACCTGCCTCCAGAAGCGGTGAATGCTCCAACACTGGAAGTTTTGAAGAAGAGACTGGACAGCCATTTGTCCGAAATGGTATAGGGTTTCCTGCCTGAGCAGGGGGTTGGACTAGATGACCTCCAAGGTCCCTTCCAACTTTATTATTATTATATTATTATATTATCTTATCTTATCTAAACAAGGAAGCAAGGAACCACCAAGAAGAAAACACGCCTACCCACACTGACAGGGCAAGCTGCTGTACATAAAAGAGAACAAACCCCACACTCCCTTCTAGCACTGATAATGTTACCTAGTTGGGTCGTGAAACATCAGTAACCAAACAACCAATCTCATAAGAGCACCACAGACGACATTCCTCTGTTGGACGCCCCTCCCTTCCAGGACTGATGATGTTCCCTAGCTGGGTCCTGAAACGTCTGCAAGAAAACCACCAAGCTCAGAGAGCACCAAGGACCCCACAGTCCTTTTCTTCCTCCTCCTCCTCCTCCCACCCCTCCTCCTCCTCCCCCTCCCACCCTTCTTCCCCTCTTCCCCTTCTTCTCCTCCACTCCACAAACCCCACTCCCTACTAATTCTGATGATATCATCTAGTTGGGTCCTGAAACGTCTGCAAGAAAACCACCAAGCTCAGAGAGCACCAAGGACCCCACAGTCCGCGTCCTCCTCCTCCTCCTCCTTCCTCCTCCCTCCCTTCCTCTTCCTCCTCCTCCCCCCTTCTGCTCCTCTTCCCCTTCTTCTTCTCCTCCACTCCACATACCCCCTTCCCTTCTAACTCTGATGATGTTCCCTAGCTGGGTCATGAAACGTCCCCAAGAAAACCGCCAAGCTCAGTGAGCACCAAGGACCCCACAAGTCCTCCTCCTCCTCCTTCCTCCTCCCTCTCTCCCTCCTCTTCCTCCCCCTCCCTTCTTCTCCTCTTCCCCTTCTTCTTCTCCTCCACTCCATGTACCCCATTCCCTTCTAACTCTGATGATGTTCCCTAGTTGGGTACTGAAATATTTGCAAGAAAACCACCAAGCTCAGAGAGCACCAAGGACCCCACAGTCCTCCTACTACTACTACTACTCTTCTCTCCCTCCCTCCCTCCTCCTCCTCCTCCTCCCCCCCCCTTTTTCTCTTCCCCTTCTTCTTCTCCACTCCACAAACTACACTCCCTACTAACTCTGATGATATTACCTAGCTGGATCATGAAACGTCTGCAAGAAAACTGCCAAGCTCAGAGGGCACCAAGGAGCCCACAGTCCTCCTTCTCCTACCACCCTTCTCCTCTTCCCCTCCTTCTTCTCCTCCACTCCACAAACCCCACTCCCTACTAACTCTGATGATGTTCCCTAGCTGGGTCCTGAAACGTCCCCAAGAAAACCACCGAGTTCCCAAACAACCCGCAGCCTCGGTTGACTTTTGCAAATTGGTGAGCCCCAGAAAGCCTCAGGGGATCCATGGGAAATGCACTTTCTCCCCAAGGAGCTGAAACCCTGCCTGCTCCAGATGTTCACCCCTTCTCATCCCCAATTCCTACCTTGCCGTTGCGGTTGTGGATGCGCAAGGGGATGGAGGGCGAGTTGAGCAGCAGCCAAAACTCGTTGTCAAACATTTTCTTCTTCAGGCGCTCCATGGCTCGGCTCTGGCCTTTATTGGCCTTCTGCGGAGGAAGAAGAGGAGGAAGAAGAGGACTTAGGACAGCTGAACCAAACTTCCCAGCTGGACCCTTGGCCAAAAGGTCTCCGCCCCGCGTCTGGAGGCTCCCTCCTCCGTATCTGCACAGAGAGGACCTTGGAGAAGGCCTATATGCAATGACCCTTCAGCAGTGGTGGGATTCAGTCGGTTTGTACCGGTTCAGTAGAACCGGTAGCTAAATTTTCCTGAGTTCGGAGAACCGGCTGAATGAACACCGCTTCCAGAAGTCTGTTCTAGGCCTGGGAGGCCTGGAGGAGGCCTCCCAGGCCTAGAACGGCCCACCAGAAGTGCGTGGATGCCACTTCCAGAAGTCCATTCTAGGCCTCGGAGGCCTGGAGGCGGCCTCCCAGGCCTAGAACGGCCCGCCAGAAATGCATGGATGCCACTTCCGGAAATCCGTTCTAGGCCTTCCCGGGCCTAGAATGGCCCGCCAGAAGTACATGGATGCCACTTCCGGAAGTCCGTTCTAGGCCTCAGAGGCCTGGAGGAGGCCTCTCAGGCCTAGAACGGCCCACCAGAAGTGCATGGATGCCACTTCCGGAAGTCCATTCTAGGCCTCAAAGCTCTGGAAGAGGCCTCTGAGGCCTAGAACGGCCCGCCAGAAGTGCATGGATGCCACTTCCAGAAGTCCGTTCTAGGCCTCGGCGGCCTGGAGGAGGCCTCCCAGGCCTAGAACGGCCCACCAGAAGTGCGTGGATGCCACTTCCGGAAGTCCATTCTAGGCCTCGGAGGCCTGGAGGCGGCCTTCCAGGCCTAGAACGGCCTGCCAGAAATGCATGGATGCCACTTCTGGAAATCCGTTCTAGGCCCCGGAGGCCTATAGGAGGCCTCCCGGGCCTAGAATGGCCCGCCAGAAGTGCATGGATGCCACTTCCGGAAATCCGTTCTAGGCCTGGGAGGCCTGGAGGAGGCTCCCAGGCCTAGAATGGCCAGCTGGAAGTGCATGGATGCCACTTCTGGAAGTCCGTTCTAGGCCTCGGAGGTCCAGGCCTGCATCCAATAAGAGAACCGGTTGTTCAGGAATTTGAATCCCACCACTGCCCTTAGGGAAACCTGAACTGCGCCCAGGAAAACAAGGCCGCGTGAGAAAGAAACTCAAGATGGTCCTTTCTTGATTCTCTAATGTATCAAAGAGAATAAGATGAGGAAATACGGTCAAGTGTTCAAGATTCTGTTTATTCTTCTATCAATTAAGTGGCATCCTTGTACAGATAGTCCTCAAGTAGCAACTATTCGCTTAGTGACCGTGCAAAGTTACAACGGCACCGAAAAAGGTAACTTGTGGCTGTTTTTCACACTTAACCACCATTGCAGCATCCTTGTAGTCACGTCATCAAAATTCAGGCACTCGGCAACTGACTCATACTTATGACGGTCACGGTGTAGTTCCCTTTTGTGACCTTCTGACAAATAAAGTCGACGGGGGGAGGCCAGTTTCGCTTCACGACCGTGTTTCTAACAACCACGGTGTCAGGAAAGGTCATAAAACAGAGCAGGAAAGGTCGTAAAATGGAACGAAAGTCGACTTAACATCTGTTGCGCTTAAATTTTGGGCTCAGCTGTGGTCGTAAGCCGAGGAGTACACTTATTCAGCGGGTGTTTATCCTGGTATTTGAAGAGGGGGTTATTTTGTGACCTGATCTCCCTTGAAGGACTGACACCCCCCTACCCCTTTAACCCATGACAGCATCTTGGAATCTGATAGTCCAACAAACTAAAGCCAGCAGCTGTCCTTAAGTGAAACATGCAGTCTGCCGTTAAGCGAATCTACCGACCTCCTTCAGCACTTCGCTCTTCATCGAGGAAATCTTTATTTTCATGTCTTCCAGGTCGTGGTCAGGCATGGCCTGGACGTGCGGACACAGGTCAGACTCTTCCAAGGAGGGGAAGACCAGCTCGGCCAACGGGATGTACCACTTGCACTCGTATTGCTGATGTTTTCTGCGGAGGGAAGACCAAGCTCAGCCTGAACTGGCTCTAGAATGGTCTGGCCCAGCCCAAGAACGGCAGAGTAGGACAATACAGCCAATAGGTCGTGGATGGGAGACCACCAGGAGATTCCCAGAGTACTCACTTCCATATTGTGGGCCAAGAAAAATCCAAGGAGCCACCAAGATTCAACCTGCACTTATCTTTTATCCAAACCACATGGACAGGGAAATCCTTTTTTATACAGCTGACTACTAATTCTATCCTATCCTATCCTATTCCATTCTATTCTATTATTGTACATTCTATTCTATTCTATTCTATTCTATTCTATTCTACTGATTCTATTCTATTCTGATTCTATTCTATTCCATTCCATTCCATTCTATTCTATTCTAATATGATTCTATTCTATATTCTATTTTAATATTATTCTATTCTATTCTGTTCTGTTCTATTCCATTCTATTTTCTATTCTATTCTATATTCTATTCTTTTTCCTTATTCTATTCTATTTCCTATTCTATTCTATTCCATCCTATTCGATTCTATTCCTATTCTATTTTCTATTATTTTCTATATTCTATATTGAATATAGAAAATAATAGAAAATAATAAAAAATAGAATAGGAATAGAATAGAATAGAATATATTCTATTCTATTCGTAATAAAGATTCTATTCTATTCTATTCTATTTTCTATTATTTTCTATAGAAAATAATAGAAAATAATAGAAAATAGAATAGAAATAGAATATATTCTATTCTATTTGCAATAAAGATTCTATTCTATTCTATTCTATTCGTAATAAAGATTCTATTCTATTCTATTCTATTCCTATTCTATTTTCTATTATTTTCAATATAGAAAATAATAGAAAATAATAGAAAATAATAGAAAATAGAATAGGAATAGAACAGGAATAGAATATATTCTTTTCTATTCTATTCGCAATAAAGATTCTATTCTATTCTATTCTATTCTATTCTATTCTATTCTATTCTATTCTATTCTATTCTATTCTCCAATCTAATCCAGTATTTTTCCAATTGGGCCACTTTAAGATGTGAGGACTTCAATTCCCAGAATCCTGGGAGTTAAAGTCCTTCCTGTCTAAAGTGGCCAAGGTTAGGAAATTCTGCTTTAATCATTTTCCCGCATGGTCTCTTGTCCGCATGGCTTCTCCGCAGCCCACCCTCTTCCCCCAAGCCTCACCCGACGCCCGTCTTCTTCAACTTGGCGCAGAGCAAAACGTCCGTAAAGAGGAAAACGTGGCGCAGCTTGCGAGACCCCTCCGCCACCTCAACCAAGAAACCATCCTTGACCAGCTGGCGGTTCTGCAAAGGAGGAAGAACGGTTAAAAAATAAAACAAAAAACAACCTCATAACTCTAGGAAGGCACCATGGCTTTTCCTATAGGACAGGATAGGGCCCGCTCCAAACGGCATGCTCAGAGGCTAACTGGGAAACTGGGATATCTGAATGCCAAGGATAGGCAGAAAGCTCGCCTGGGCCTGTGAAATCAGGATTTAAATCTACGTTGAATCACACAAAGGCACCGATTCGTACTTCGCAGCAATGGAGAGGTTGCTACAGGCATCAAATTGATTTCCTAAATCCCTCAATCAAATTTATATAGCCCTCCATTTTGTTTCAAAGCGATTCTGAGCAGCGTATAACAATCAAACAGAACTCCAATGTTAAAATACAAAACACAAAATTACAAACCATTTGTTGTAAAAACATGATTTTTTACTTTCATTCCATCATCATTTGGTTGGGTTAGGGATATCTATTTCTGATTATTTTAATGCTCTATCTATCTATCTATCTATCTATCTATCTATCTATCTATCTATCTATCTATCTATCTATCTATCTATCTATCTATCATCTATCTGTCATCTATTTATCTATTTATTATAGTCAGTGTCTGTCTTTCTATCTGTCTATCTATCTATCTATCTATCTATCTATCTATCTATCTATCTATCTATTAGTCTATGTATCTATCTATGTATCTATTTATCTATCATCTACTTATTAGTCTGTCTGTCTATCTATCTATTAGTCTATCTATCTATGTATTTATCTATCTATTAGTCAGTCAGCATGTCTGTCTGCCTAACTATCATTATGTCTGTCTGTTTATCTATATATCATTATGTCTGTCCATTATGTCTGTCTGTCTGTCTACCTATCATTATGTCTGTCTGTCTGTCTGTCTGTCTATCTATTAAATTTACCTCAAGGTAACCTTGATTTATTTCTGATGATTTTAAAGCATAGATAGATAGATGATAGATAGATAGATACATCGATAGATAGAGATAGAGATAATGATTCTTTAAAATCATCAGAAAGAATTCAGTATATAAAGTTGCCTTGAGGTAAAATGGGCGGCTGGTAAAATTTTATAATTTTTTAATATAAAAATATATACACCGTACATATACATTTTATATAAAAGGTAAATAGACAAATAGAGAGAACGATGATAAATAGATATGATATAGATATAGATATATAGATATAGATATATACAAATTTTACAGGCCGCCCATCTTACCTCACGGTAACTGATGCTATAAGCTGCCCAGAGTCGCTTCAAAATGAGATGGGTGGCAAACAAATTTAATGAATGAATCAATCATAAATCAATAATCGTTATCAAAAACGATTTTTGAAAAACGACAAATGTTCACACACAGCCTCAGAATCCTACAACAGCTGTGTCGATTCCTTCTTGAGGCACTGCACTCATCCTGATTGCGTGAATGCGTTTCTTGACTCTTGATAGAGCCTCCAGGCACAGGGGCAGTGTATCTTGAAATCCTGGCAACCTCCACCTAGAATCTGCTTGGAAAGGATTCATTGCTGACTATTGGTTGGGATCCCATTCTGATCTAGAGAGAGAGTCTGCCTTTTTAGGAACCCCAAAAGGCCTCACGCCTGATATCACACAACGGCCTACTTGCCTCTCCTTTCGGGGTAGTGACGGCCGTTCTGCGAGGATCAATGTCCTCGTTGATGCTGGAGAGGAAATTCTGGGAAATCCGAAGGGCGTCCTGTAGCAGCGGGTAATCGGGGTGATCGGTCGGCGTGTGCTTCAGCAGATCCTGGACACCCCCCAAAAAAGCATTTTAAAAAATCATCACATCGTAACAGAGTGGGAAGGGACCTTGTAGATCATCTAGTCCAGCCCCCTCCTCCCGCCCAAGCAGGAGACCCGACTACACCATTTCTGACAGATGTGGTTAGATTCTGGATGCCAGAGCCAGCTTCCCCATTACACAGGCAGTCCTCGGCTTTCAACAGTTCGTTTAGTGACTGTTCAGTGTCTGACTTATGACCGCTTTCCACACTTACGACCGTTGCCGCGGTCAAAATCCAGACGCTTGGCAACTGACTCACGTTTATGACGGTTGTAGCATCCCAGGGGTTGTACGATCCCCTTTTGTGACCTTCTGACAGTGAGTCAGTAAAGTCAAGTCAATGAGGGAGGCCAGATTCGTTTAACGAATACGTGATTCATTTAACGACTGCACTGATTCCCTTAATGACTGCAACAACAACAAAAGTCGCAAAAATCAGGGCCAGTCACGTGATGACTCCTTAGGCCAGGGGTAGGCAACCTTGGCTCTTTTATGACTGGTGGACTTGAACTCCCAGAATTCCTGAGCCAGCATGGGGGAACTATGGCCCCCTTCATGACTTGTGGACTTCAACTCCCAGAATTCCTGAGCCAGCATGGGGAACTATGGCCCCTTCATGACTGATGGACTTCAACTCCCAGAATTCCTGAG